TATTCACAGTGAAACATAGAGGCCAAGGGAGAGACAGGAAATCGAAAAGCTTCAGGGAACCAGGCATGGTGGAATACAGCTGTAATCCCAGCACTGGGGAGGCTGAGGCAGGAGGATTGCCTCAAGTTCAAGGCTGTCCTAGGCCATTAAAAAACAAAAAGCTAGAGCATTTGTAGCATGGTTCTAGGACGGCACTGAACAAAAAACTCAACATCTGTGGCCATAAAGAAATGCAAAATAAAACATTCCATCTTACCTCTGAAAGAATGGCTATCATCAAGAAATCAATGACAGGGCTTCGGATTTAGCTCAGTGGTTCCACCACCTGTCTCACAAGCACAAGGACAGGAGTTTGATCCCGGGCACCCCCCCCACCCCCAAAAAAACCCAAAAATAAAAATAGAAATTGCATTTGACCGAGCTATTCTAGGTATCTTCCCAAAAGAGTTAATCATATTATAGTGATGCATGCATATCCGTGTTAATAGCAGTACAATTTAAAATCTTGGAAGCAGTATATATGTGCATCAACAGATGAATAAAGAAAATGGTATTTACACAGAATACTAGTCTGCTATAAAGAAGGATAAATGAGGGCCAGGGATTTAGCTCAGTGGTTCTGGCGCCTGCCTTGCAAGCGCAAGGTCCTGAAATTGATCCCTGATACAAAAAAAAAAAAAATAAAAAAGGATAAACAAGTCATTTGTAGGCAACTGGATGCACCTTGAGATAATGTTAAGAAAATAAATCAGACACAAGCTTAAATATGGCATGGTTTCTCTTTCTCTTATCTGAGAAACTTAAACGTATAAAGAGCAAAATAAAAGATAAGAATAGAAAACTGCTAGACCTTTAACAAATGGGAAGGAGAGGGGATAGGAAGAGGATGTGAAAGGAATTAAGATGCATTATGCACTTGTACCAACTCCCCACAATGAATGTAATTATATGTATTGCAAGGATGTGTTAATAAAAGTAAAAAAAAAATTTTTTTGGACCTTGCACTTGCAAGGCAGGTGCCAGAACCACTGAACTAAATCCCTGGCCCAATAAAAGTAAAAATTTAAAAATGCTTATTAAACTAGACTGAATTTTGGGGGGGGGGGGTTGTTTTTTGGT